ATTGGGGACATATTTCTTTAATTGTTGTGTTAATTTTCTTATGTCTAATTGACAAAAGATCCAGATGGACTAAATCTTCTTGGTCTCAGTATGTATTAGGAAGAGCCATGGACCATTTATTTGTCTATTAACACTATAAACGGTTGAGGAACTTCATCTGTAGGCATAAAACCAGCATTTAAACTATCAGCTGCCAGTCATTACGATGCTGTCAACAGCCATTTTAGGGGCGATGATTTTCAGTGGTGTTCTATTACACAGCCCAAATAAAGCTGTTTAACATTTTTGAAATCTCAACATTGAATACAAAATATTTTTGAATCAGTATACTCAACTACTAGAGCATTTTTTGTGCATTAGTACATTACAATTGCCATGTAAATGGCTGTTATTTATAGACCTCTCTAAACAAAAAAAGAAATTGGTTATAAAATAAATGTTTTAACATGGTCACTTATCCCATGGGCGATTATATGGGCTTATTCAATAAATAATGGCAAACCTCAAAATAATGATATCCAGTACACAGTAATTTATTGCAACCAATTGACAATCACCTGCATGGCCACAGGTGTGTAAAATCAAGCACCTAGGCATGTAGACTGCTTCTACAAACATTTGTGAAAAAATGGGTCACTCTCAGAAGCTCAGTAAATTTAAGTGTGGTACCGTTATAGGTTGCCAGCTGTGCAATAAGTCCATCCGTGAAATTTTATTTGCTACTAAATATTCCATGGTCAAATGTTAGTATTAATATAACAAAGTGGAAGCAACTGGGAACAACAGCAACTTAGCCATGAAGTGGTAGGCCATGTAATATGACAGAGTGGGGTCAGCACATGCTGAAGCGCACAGTGCGCAGGAGTCGCCAACTGTCTGCAGAGTCAATAGCTAAAGACCTCCAGACTTTGTGTGGCCTTCAGATTGGCACAACAACAGTGCGTAGAGAAATTCATGGAATGGGTTTCCATGACCGAGCAGCTGCATCCAAGCCTTACACCAAGTGCAATGCAAAACATTGGATGCAGTGGTGTAAAGCATGTCACCACTGGACTGTAGAGCAGTGGAGGCGTGTTCTCTGGAGTGACGAATCGTGCTTCTCTGTCTGGCAATCCACTGGACATGTCTGGGTTTGTCGGTTGCCAGGAGAATGGGACTTGCCTGACTGCATTGTGCCAAGTGTAAAGTTTGGTGGAGGGGGGGGATTATGGTGTGGTGCTGTTTTCAGGGGTTGGGCTCGGCCCCTTAGTTCCAGTGAAGGGAACTCTTAAGGCATCAGCATACCAAGACATTTTGGACAATTTCATGCTCCCAACTCTGTGGGAACAGTTTGGGGATGGCCCCTTCCTGTTCCAACATGACTGTGCACCAGTGCACAAAGCAAGGTCCATAAAGACATGGAAGAGCGAGTTTGAGGTGGTGGGACTTGACTGGCCTGCTCAGAGTCCTGACCTCAACCCGATAGAACACCTTTGGGGTGAATTAGAGCGGAGACTGTGAGCCAGGCCTTCTCATCCAACATCAGTACCTGACCTCACAAATGTGCTTCTGGAAGAATGGTCAATCATTCCCGTAGACACACTCCAAAATTTGTGGACAGCCTTCCCAGAGGAGTTGAAGCGTTTATAGCTGCAAAGGGTGGGCCAACTCAATATTGAACCCTACAGACTAAGACTGGGATGCCATTAAAGTTAATGTGCGTATAAAGGCAGGCGTCCCAATACTTTTGGCAATAAAGTGTGTATATTTATATTTAAATTTTTATTTTTTTTATTTTTTTCCTCATGACATCATTGAGAAGGGTCATACCCTGAGTCAGATAATGTTTCAGGTTCTGGAGAGGAGAGAAAGCTTTAAGCAACAAGATCAGCTTCTTTCAAACTTTACACCAAATCAAGTAAAACTAGGACTTTAAAGTAGAACTCTAGGGAAAAATCTTAATCCTCGCAGGGGGCTGCTGCAGGGGTTAAGTGCTTGTTTGTGTCTAAGTTAAAAAAAAAGTTATGTTCATCTGAACCTCGGATCTGGCCGGCTGTGACAGCACTACCCCCAGCCAGTGTATAGAATGTGATGACTCAAGGATCCTTAGACCGCTGGAGTGGAGGGAGAGCTAGGTGGAAGGGACCAGTCTAAAAGCCAGTCGTCCCCAAGGATCAGGTGAGTATAATTTATTTTAACCCAAATAAGCAAAAGCGCACTGGAAGGGTAGCCCCACTGCAGGGGTTAAAAAAGTGTCCCAGTGTACTGCTTTAACATACATCTATTTTACATAGTTACATAGTATTTGAGGCTGAATAAAGACACGGGTCCATCAAGTTCAACCTATTGTGTGTATGTTTTGGATTCTGCATGTGTATGTGTGTGTACGAGTCCCTGTGTGATCTTATTTTTTAAGGGTACCTGTACCTCTGTATGTTACAGTCTCTGAGGAAATTGTCTAAATGCATTTTGAATGATTCAACACTCTCAGCTGATACCACTGCTTGTGGCAGAGAGTTCCAGACCCTAACCATTCTAACTGAAAAGAAGCCCCTTCGCCCCTTGTGCTTAAATCTTTTCTCCACCAATTTTAGGTGGTGGCCTCTTTATAAAAAACAAATTTAAACAGGTTTTTATGAATAATTATGCAATTTTTTATGGCTTTCTATTTCAATATTTTTTTCATGTTTAGTAAAGCTGAACAGTTTTCCAGCCACATTACAAAATGAGGAGTTATTCACTCTAGAGTAATTTATTCAACCAGAGAAAATGTAGAGGGCTAAGCATCCCACTTTTATGGTTTTCAAGGAGGAAGGAGCACTGACCTTGGGGAAGTGAGGATTTACTTGCATCTTTGGTACAGCCACACAAATGTTTTTGCTGATTGGAGCGAACAATCCCCACTGCATGTACCCACCTGTGAAAAAGGGAATTTAGAAAGACAGTGCTAAATCCATATATGGATAACTATATGCTGTATATAAACTGCAGCATTTTCCTTTAAGCCTATGGTGTCTTAATAACATTCTCTCAGGGGTAGGGGGCTCACGGGAATTGAGTTAAATGACAATGAACATCATTCAAACCACAAGAGTACTGGTGCTGGATTGCAAAGTGGTGAGACTGGGGAGACAATGTCTGAGATAGGGTGAGTACTCCAACAAGAGCTGTTTTTTAATTTGATTTAAAAAAAATACTGGGCAATGGATTTAAAAATAATTATATAAAGCTGATATCAGCCTCCAAAAATGAGGGATTGGGTTGTAGAGGGGAGTAGGACATAATAGCAGCACATTTTTAGCTTTATCAAATATAATTTGACATTTCAGGTGTGCTGACAAGGGTAGCTCCACTACAGTGGTGAAGGGCTAACATGAATAGGAGAGCTAGGTGGAAGGGACCAGTCTAAAAGCCAGTCGTCCCCAAGGATCAGGTGAGTATAATTTATTTTAACCCAAATAAGCAAAAGCGCACTGGAAGGGTAGCCCCACTGCAGGGGTTAAAAAAGTGTCCCAGTGTACTGCTTTAACATACATCTATTTTACATAGTTACATAGTATTTGAGGCTGAATAAAGACACGGGTCCATCAAGTTCAACCTATTGTGTGTATGTTTTGGATTCTGCATGTGTATGTGTGTGTACGAGTCCCTGTGTGATCTTATTTTTTAAGGGTACCTGTACCTCTGTATGTTACAGTCTCTGAGGAAATTGTCTAAATGCATTTTGAATGATTCAACACTCTCAGCTGATACCACTGCTTGTGGCAGAGAGTTCCAGACCCTAACCATTCTAACTGAAAAGAAGCCCCTTCGCCCCTTGTGCTTAAATCTTTTCTCCACCAATTTTAGGTGGTGGCCTCTTTATAAAAAACAAATTTAAACAGGTTTTTATGAATAATTATGCAATTTTTTATGGCTTTCTATTTCAATATTTTTTTCATGTTTAGTAAAGCTGAACAGTTTTCCAGCCACATTACAAAATGAGGAGTTATTCACTCTAGAGTAATTTATTCAACCAGAGAAAATGTAGAGGGCTAAGCATCCCACTTTTATGGTTTTCAAGGAGGAAGGAGCACTGACCTTGGGGAAGTGAGGATTTACTTGCATCTTTGGTACAGCCACACAAATGTTTTTGCTGATTGGAGCGAACAATCCCCACTGCATGTACCCACCTGTGAAAAAGGGAATTTAGAAAGACAGTGCTAAATCCATATATGGATAACTATATGCTGTATATAAACTGCAGCATTTTCCTTTAAGCCTATGGTGTCTTAATAACATTCTCTCAGGGGTAGGGGGCTCACGGGAATTGAGTTAAATGACAATGAACATCATTCAAACCACAAGAGTACTGGTGCTGGATTGCAAAGTGGTGAGACTGGGGAGACAATGTCTGAGATAGGGTGAGTACTCCAACAAGAGCTGTTTTTTAATTTGATTTAAAAAAAATACTGGGCAATGGATTTAAAAATAATTATATAAAGCTGATATCAGCCTCCAAAAATGAGGGATTGGGTTGTAGAGGGGAGTAGGACATAATAGCAGCACATTTTTAGCTTTATCAAATATAATTTGACATTTCAGGTGTGCTGACAAGGGTAGCTCCACTACAGTGGTGAAGGGCTAACATGAATGTGTAAAGTGTTGAGCTATTCTATGTCAAAGGTTGTCAAGAGCTCATAATGTGGAGAGACATTACTACTTTATTTTCTAAACACTCTATTTGCCTTGGATTAGAAGAGAGCTGCTTTTTGTTTTGCCAGGATATTATTATTTCCAGGGCTAGTGAGCCTCTCACTCTCGAGCACCTCTTAACAGTAGTAAATACTGTTGCGCTGCGCAAACTGTTGGCGCTATATAAATCCTGTATAATAATAATAAATAGTGTGCTGCTTGTATTACAGGAATGAACGTAAATTGTGTTTTTGAGTCTCTGATCATTAAGAAATCTATGACAGCCTCTGTCTGTACTGTCTGTACATATTCCTATTTCTCTGAAAGTTGTTATTTTGCTTTAACAGGAGGCATTTTTGAATTTCTGGAAGGACCCACAGGACAGTTTGTAAGCGCAGAAGAACAAGCATTCAGATTTGCAGCAAACATCATCAACAGAAACAGAACATTATTACCAAACACAACCTTAACCTACGATATTCAAAGAATCAACCTCTACGACAGCTTTGAAGCTAATCGAAAAGGTCCGTATAATGCTCCAGAACAGAGTCTTTTTTAAAAGGGGAACTCCAGTCTGCCTAATACAGTGTTAAAGTATGCATACTCTATGTTAGCTGTTTCGCTGTCAAAATATAGTTCCACTTGACTACTCACAGGATGCATGTTATCATATGTGAATTACACACCCTTAGCACACTACCTGGCAAGATGAGTAACACATCACAATTGGCAGATCTGCAGCTTCATTTGTCACCAACCTGTTTAATGTACTTTGAAAGAGTATCATCATGCTGCTGGGATCCTCCCTATGCTGTCCTACAGCAATGTTGAATTGGCAATACTGTACGAGGCCATAAAGCTACACTTATATACAGCGCACAATCTCCCACTCTAACCATGGATATAACATAGACTTTTGCACAATAAGCAAGCCCCACATGCCTCTGGCTCAGCTCATCATAGCTCAAATGGCACCACGGTAGCTGTTCCAACAACTATCCTTAGAATTAATCGAACCCTATGAACAGTGCTCTTAAAATGTATGCAGACATCTGACTGTTTTTTCAATACAAAGTGCCAGCTACAATGGGAGCCAAACATTTATTTTTAGGGAAGGTTCAATGAACATGAGGTGTGCATATAGTTTTAGCCATATTAGTCTGCAAAGTGTAAGTCATGTACCCGAAACCAATATTATCTAAGTAAATCAGAAATAAAATGTCATATCAGCACCTTTCTATAGCACCAGCTTTTTCTGTTAGTGCCACCATGAGTGAAAAGTATGACCTTAAAAGTAGAATTATGGGCTCCCATTATATGGGCTCCCAAGCCTCAGAAATACCTGTTGATCCTGCCAGTGAAGTCCACCTCATGTTGCTTCCTGTGATGGTGGGACAATGCTGCTGCACTGCTACTGTATTTAAAGCAGTGTTGTCACTCATGTAGGTTGTGGGTGCTCGCACTACAGATGTTGCAGGAGACATGGCTGACGGCATTATCACTGCTGATTTACAAGCCTGTATTTTGTCAAACAGCAGCTTGCCATATTTAGCCCTGCCCACTGCTTTCTGGATTGGCAGAAATGGCTGTGCTGCTGAAACCCTCCCACTGTAGGCTTTAGTGACTGGGAAGGGAAGTGTGTGAGACACAGATAAAAAAGGATTTGGCTGACTCAAGGAAGGTATTTTTTTTATGTTTTAATTTACATGGCTCAAGCATTACATAGCATCTGGATTTGAGATCTGTTTAGGCTTTCATGCACTGTAACTAGGAAGTTAGCACTTTGGCTATCCCGTTTCTGCCCCTTCCACCTCAAGACCAGTTATTACCAATTTCACCAATACAATAAAAATCCTTTAGCACATTCTGCCTGCAACCATCCCTATTAATCCAGCTACAACAGAGTGTATTTCTTCTGGTTCCAGTGATTTTATTAATTATCACATATCTGTTGCATGGTAAGAAACTTTCCTTTCATATTATGATGTAGAAAAAAATCACTCATAAGTTTGTTTGAAGCGATGAACATTAGTATTAAACTGTCCCTATACCTAGGAAATATGTTAATCCCCGATTCCCCTACTGCTTTGTACCCCAAAATAATGAAAAGCATTTTAACCTCCCTGGCGGCATGATTATGCAGGATTTTAGCATCCCAAAGCGGTACATTGTTTTAGAATACCGTCAGGGAGGTTAATGCTGATCCACTGGAACATGATTCCACTGTGCCACTGGTTACCTCTGGGTTTGAACTGCAGTGGTGGAGCAGGATCTGTGTGATGGTTTACCCATGCTACAGACAGTCAATGCCTCTGCCTTACACAAGCTGAGACCTAGCTATACTAGAGACGTAGTGGGCCCGTGAGACCTGGAGGGTGTCAACTTCAACTACCAGGTAAGTACGTTTTTGGGGTAGGCCGCAGCAAAGGTCTGTTGCCTTTTTGAAATATCACTGCTATGCTACAGGCAAGTTATTTGGTTTGAAAATATTGCATGATCCACAAACAAAACATTACAACAGTTTCTCAAATGAATAGCCATAATGCTCATGTAAAAACAAAATGTGAATAAGATAAAACAGATTTAAATAACTAGTTAGTTTTGTTTAGTTATAAACCAGCAGATATTTTTAAGGAAGCAGGCAACATGTACTTGCCTTGCCAACAGAAAAAGCTCCAAGAACTTGGCACCAGCTGTCATTTTTTACAGGGTTATTCACAAAAGGGTAAAGAGTTTGGAGACAGCAGAAAAAGTGAACAATCTCGGATAGAGCTGATAGCTGATTTGGAAAAATTCTCCAATTCATCTTACTTTGCAGTTCAGCTATTTTGTCCTAGATTGTTTACTTCTCCTGCCTTCTCCAAACTCTTCACCCTTTTGTGAATAACCCTGTTAGTCAAACTTGTTACCTGGCTCCTGGAATTTGTCCTAGCTTAACTCACTTTCATGGATTTCCACAGTACCTTAAAAATATATTGTTATGCGACTTTCCTTGCTGTGAGAAAATATTTTCAGGAATTTAGCATGAGTTTTCATTCCTGGGGTCAAGTGAAAAGCTGTAGATGATTTGTGTTATAGGTCAAACATTGGTCATGCTGTTATCCTTACGGATTTACTTCTGTGCCTCCTTGTATACAACGAAGATGTGCTCAATGGTTTGATTATTACCTACTTGTCTCGACAGTTTTCAGACAATTTATGAACTCAGTGCTCATTGTGGCCAGCGCTAAACCGATAAAAATTGATCTTTTTTTTCCTTTGACTGAAATTGCCCTTAACTGACCTTAGTAAATTATATGTGTAAGCTGTGTTTACCTTATTGTAAAGTGTTACAGCTGGGATTGTGTATGTATTCCCTACCTATCATACACATTGGGTATGTCTCCCCTCTGAAAAAGGCTTCATTTAGTGGTTGTACAGAATCAAGCTTTCAGAAAATTAAAAATTACAACAATTTTTCCTATAATCTTTTGAGTAAGACCGTTTTCATCCAAACAATACATTTAGGCAAGGCTAGCATATTGAGAACTCAATACACAGTGTAAATTCCAAAAATACCCAGGAAAAATTAATCAGGTTACAGTTGACAATACCTCCATTTTGCCTTTCCTCTGGACTACCCCCCCCTAAGTTGGTGAGAGATCTCAAATTCATCCATCCAATCTATTATAAATCATGAAACTGATGATGGTTAATGTTATACACAGACATGAATAGGCAAAAATTCTGCTGATGGAATTTGTGCATGTTCTCTGCATTGTGTAAAACATCCACAAACATTTCTGTTTGGTTTATTATGTAATCTGTCCTGAACAATATGTCTGTTATTAGAACGCATTGGTGAACTAAGGACCTGTGTCAATGGGCTTTGAGATTGTGATGGTGGCATCAGTTTGAGATGTTTCTGGGGAGAATTTATCAAAACTGGAGAAGGCAAAATCTGGAGCAGTTGTCTATAGTAACCAATCAACGTCTATCTTCAGTTTATTCAGTTAAGGTTTGAAAATGAACAAGAGCCCATAGACACAGGCCCTAATATAGCTGTAAGTATTTGAGTAGCAAATGTATATTTTGTAAGAAACGGTAGCTAAAATGACAGGCAGTGATTGGAGTTAGAGAAAAAATAATTGTCAGCTTAGTAGCTTAAACGTACAAATCACTGGAGTTGACAATTCATCTGCATTTAACACTGAATAAATGTAACAGTTTACAGATTTAACCACCTCCGGGCCGGCCGTAGTAAAAAGACGGATGAGACGTGACCCGATCTTTTATATTTTACCAAAAAACTGGGTAATAATAAATGTTTCCTAACATAATGTAAAAAAAAAAATGTTCATGTAATTTTTCCTAATTATAATAAAAAATAAAAACCCCAGTGGTGTTTAAACACCACCAAAAGAAAGCTCTATCTGTCCCCAAAAAATGGTACAAAATTAATTTCAGTACAGCGTTGCATGACGGAATAAACGTCAGTCAAAGTACTGCAGCGCTGAATACTGAAAAATGGCCTGGCCAGGAAGGGGGGTGTAAACACCTGGTCTTGAAGTGGTTAACAAGCAAACAGTCTATTTACAACTCTACAAAGGATTGTTTTCTTCCACAGTCAGTAGATCACATATATATCCATATATATCAGCGCATTTTATGGGGCTTATTAAATAAAAATGCTCTTAATAGAGCTCTTTAATTGGCAGGCCTTCCAACACTTGTTGCTTTAGCTATATGTTAACAACCACTCCATCGCTTTGCCACATACCCACTGACTAAAAGAAAAATCATGTCTTGGTTGTGATGGTAAACCTTCCTTGAGAGTAAATCTTCCATATTTCACTAAGCACTCAGTTTCAGAGCCTATTCCTTCCAGACATACCCCTTATGGCTATACACACACACACACACACACACACATTTAACCAGTTGACATCCGCGGTGTTAAACCCCCTTCCCATCCAGGCCATTTTTCAGTATTCAGCGCTGCGGTACTTTAACTGACATTTATTCCGTCATGCAGCGCTGTACTGAAATGAATTTTATACCCTTTTTTGGGGACAGATAGAGCTTTCTTTTGGTGGTATTTATTCACCACTGGGGGTTTTATTTTTTTACTATATTAAGGAAAAATTACCGAAATTTAAAAAAAAAACAGTTTCCCCTATATTAAATGATACAAATTTAAATTATTACCCAATTTTTTGTTAAAATATAAAAGATGGGGTCACGTCGGGTAAAAAGACACTAAACATGTCAAGCCTTAAAATTGCGTGCGCGCGCGAAACCTCAAAAAACGATAATACCCAAAATTGGCACTAGGCGACGCTTTAAAAGCTGTGACCGCTCATCAGTTTAGTGTTATCAGTGATTGATGGCCCTAAAATGATTGCTCTCACTGCGACGTTCGCGGCGATATGTAACATGTGTAGCGCAATTGTAATTTTTGCGCGCTGGGGCACCGGACGCGTATTTACGTTTATAGGCGCGTAAACGTGGGGGTGGGGGAGTTAAACATTTTGGGGGGGTTTTTTCCCCTTTTTTTATATGTGGCTTTTATTTTATTTTATTTTTTTATGTGTTACTTTTCTTTTTTTTTATTTATATTTTTTTTTTTGCACTTATTGTTATTGCTATTATATAGGGGGATAACAACCCCCTATATAATAGCAAAGGCACACTGACAGGTCCTCTTTATGGAGATATTAGGGGTCTCTAGGACCCCTAATATCACCTATGGACCCCAAAAGAAGCTGATAAAGCAGAGATCTGCTTTATCAGCTTCTTCTCTCTCCAGATGACTGACAGGTGAATGCGGAAGTGATGTAACACACATCACTTCTGCATTCACAGCCCGGACGGGGATCAGCAAGGAGCTGATCTCCCGTCCTCCTCCTCCTGACGCCCTCGGAGCCGGTCCCGGGATCCAAGATGGGGCAGCGGATCCCGGGAATCAAGGGGGGGGGTGCCGCGAACGAGCACATATAGGCGATCGGCGGGCTATGGACCCGCCGGTCGCCTATATGTGAAACACCCGGTAACGGGTGTGTGCATTGAGCGGGTCTTTTCTGCCCGTGCGTGCCCGCTAGGGGGCGCGCGCGAGCAGATGCTGCAGTGCCGTCCGTCCGTTTTTTTACTACGGGCGGACGGCAAGAGGTTAAGGAAAGACACAACCAAGGCACAAGCTACCATTGGATTTAATAACAAATGTTATAGTCATGGGTGCTGACAAAAATGAATTAATTCATGCAGGGTTGTAACAAAAAGTACATTCATATTAACGGCAATAGCTGGTGACAATGATTTGTTACTGCAATTGTAATTGGAGATAATGGAGTCTTTTACATTTCATTTTTTTTCTCAGGGTTTTATATTCCATTTCCTCAGTTCTTATTTTTCTTTCTACATTTTTTAATGTACAAAAAGACTGGTGTGATTGAAACCCCAGCACTCACAATATAGGACCCCTTGGCTATAAGGCTAAAAGCTAGCAGGCCTCCACCATGTTACTATACCATATAACTTAACAGAAATTATACCCTTTAGTAACTTTTCTGTATGTTTTGTAATGTTATAGAAAGCATCAGATCCTGCCACTGGCAATTGCTAATATACAGGTGGGCATTCCCATGGCAGGAGGGCCATTAATATTGATATTAGTCTCTACACCCTTCAGTCTCAGGTAGGGGATTTTTCTTAAAATGGGACCCTCAAAAGAGAGTGTCTGTCTCATGAGTACTAGGCTGCAAGCTACCAGAAACAATCACGGGTGTGGAAATAAATAGGGGTTGTACCACCCCCTTTCCCTTTTCATTCCTTTTGAGGAGAAGTAAGTAGATATTCTCTGCCATTCATAATTCATAATTAAATTACTCAGTAAGACATTTTGTAATTAAACAGTGTAGAGGACTTCCAATTTACTGAAATATTTATGAATGACAGTACGCAAACCTATCAAGTTTACCAGCATTATATATGAATAAATCTCTATAATATTCAGAAATTCCTTGGAAGACCATGATCCCCAAAAGATAGCTTTGCACAATTTTTAGAGATCTCATGCAAGGTGTAAAAAACAGACGAGATTCTTGAATTCATTTTAACACTTTTTTTATGAAAGAGAACACGAAAGAGGAAATGGGTACATTTTTAAATAAGCACCATGCCAATATACATGCCTACATGCACCATAAATGGTGCTGAGGGTAGCATTGTGTTTCATTCACTGATCAGGGAAAAGCAACTTTCCCCCACTGGGAGAGGGCAGATGAGCTGCATAAAGCCCCAACCCCATTCCTGTACCACATCCTTGTGAATCAGTGATGCGAAAGATTCAAGTGCCCATCACTTGTTAGTCTTTTGAGCAACTCTGTTAACTCTAGTTTAAAAGTATTTACGTGCTGGTATCAACATTGCAAAAAGCCTGTATTCTTACAGTTACATATATTGTTACATAGTTGTTAAGGTTAAATAAAGACACAGGTCCATCCAGTTCAACCTTTGGGTTTTTTTTGTGTGTGTACCTGTGTGTGTTTGTTACTAAGATTCCCCGTACCCCTCTATATCTTGTGAAGTGAGAAAAGTATCTAGTTTTTGAATGATTCCATATTCTCAGCTGATACCACTGTCTGTGGAAGAGAGTTCCACAATTTTATAGCTATCACAGTAAAGAATCCTCTTCACTGTTTAAGATTAAACCTTTTCTCTTCCAGTTTCAGATGGTGGCCTCTTGTATTCTTGACTGAACTGACAGTAAACAATGTATTACTGATTATCACATCACCATTAAACAATTTGTACACTAATATCATGTCCCCTCTCAGTCTCCTCTTTTCAAGAGTGAACAAGTTTAATGCTTGCAGTCCTCTAATGTCTTTATAAGCTTTGTTGCCCTTCTCTGGACTCTCTCCAGCTCAAGGACATCCCTTCTGTGGATTGGTGACCAAAACTGAACCACATACTCAAGATGTGGCTGAACCAGTGTTTTGAACAGGGGCAGAATTATGAATTTGTCTTTAGAATACATTAACTTTTGTATACATGATAGTACCCTGCTCGCCTTATTCGCTGCTACCTGGCTTTGCATGCTATTACTAAGGTAACAGTCCACTAGGACTCCCTAATCTTTTCCACCTTTGATTCCCCCAGTGGATCATCCATTAATGAGTAGCTTGCTCTCGTATTTATAACTACAAAATGCATAACCTTACACTTCTCAATATTAAACCTCATCTGCCATGTAGATGCCCACCCCCATATTTTATCCAAATCTTCTTGTAATATTTGTATGTCTTCTGTCGAGTTTGCTACCCTAGAAATGTTAGTATCGTCAGCAAAAATTTAAATATTGCTATTAATAGCAGTCCCAATATCATTGATAAAGGTTGAACAGCCATGGCCCCAAGATGGAACCCTAGGGCAGGCCACTGTCAACTGAGGACCATTTGGAAAATGAGCCATTTATTGATACTCTCTGGACACGTTCATTTAACCAGTTCGCTATCCAAGTACACACCATTTCATCAATGCCCAAAGATTGAATCTTGTAAATTAAACGTTTATGAGGTACCCTATCACATGCTTTCACAAAATCAAGGTATTCTTGTCACTCTCCAGCCATGGTGATACAAGCCTGTATGCCTCATGTGTTTGGCTAGCAGCCTGTGGGAAGGCTGTGTAGTTTTGATCTAAAATGAATATTCTAAAAAAGGTTTAAAAAATCAACAAATCAGTTGATGCCACACAACAAGAAAGGAGTTGCTGATATCTGCTATCTTTGCCAATACAGTTAGTACCTCAGCTCAGACAAACACATTTTCTCATAGAAACATTTGTCAGGGAACTGGGATTAACTATGAATATTTTTAAGGTGATTGTAGCCATATTAGTGCACTTCAGGAGGGTTCTCTTCTTCTCAGTCCAAGTAACACAAAGGTTTACAAAATGTTTAAAGTTTGCAAAGACAACAATCTTGGAAACAACACACACACAGAGTAACAAAAGTGAGAAAGTTATTCAAATAATGAGAAGTGTGGCATATGTAATGAGAGGGGGGAGTAAGAGTCACAGGAGGGAAAATGACCATTAAACTATTTGATAATGATTTAGAAAGTTGAGGTCCACATTCAGTCCATTATCTCTTGTGTCATACTTCAAACTTTAAAACAGTGACTCTTTGTTTGTTGCAGCTTGTGACCAATTGGCCCTAGGAGTGGTTGCTATTTTTGGACCATCCCATAGTTCCTCCTCCAACGCTGTCCAGTCTATTTGCAACGCATTGGAAGTACCGCATATTCAAGTCCGATGGAAGCACCATCCTCTAGATAACAAAGACAACTTCTATGTAAACTTGTATCCAGACTATGCTTCTCTGAGCCATGCAATCTTGGACCTTGTACAATTTTTAAAGTGGAGGTCGGCCACGGTAGTTTATGATGACAGTACAGGTATGGTGCAGTTTACATTACATTACATTTACAATTTTTTACTCATTGGTGTAAGAACCAAACCAAATACTGTGTATTTTCTTTGTCCTGATTGTACACTTAATGTTTATTAATTTTGTAGTGATTTGTGTAAAACAATGCTATAGCAC